TGGACTAAGAGAGCACGGTGGGGAAGAATGGGACAATTAGATGGACTGTTGCTTAATAGCACAGCAGTTCCTCATGGGCCTTCGCTCTAAGGATGTGTGAATGCTGTGACCTTTGGATCATGCTTTCTTCTTGTGCTCCTGAATTTATTGCAACAAAAGTCATATTCAGCCAAACACACTCAACTTTTTGAGGAAAAATTTGCCCTGAAAACTTTTTTTTCCATTTCAAATTTACTTTTTGTTGTTGTTGTTTTAATTTTATTTTAATTATTGTTCAAGTACAATTTTCTATCTTTTACTCCCATCCTGGTCCACCCACCCAGCCCTCCCCACCTCCCTCCCACTTCTACCCGCCCCTAGTTTTTGTCCATGTGTCCTTTATACTTGTTCCTTTTGATCGTGATTTCCACTGAATGACTGATACTGGGCTGTTACAATCTAAAACAAGCTTGTTGGCAATGGAGGGGAAAAGAGTCCAGGACCACAGTCAGCAAACCTGAGTTCTCATCTTGCCACTGACTATGTGACTTTGGGTGAGTCCCTTCCCCTCTCAAGGACTCGGGGTCCTCATCTATAAAAGGAGTACATTGCTCTAAAATTTAGAGGCTAAATCATTTCTCTTGTAATTTTTACCTCTGTGATCCAAAATGATTTCCAACAGTGCTTAAGAGGTATAGTGAGAACACATGGGACTTTTTCAGAAAGAAAGCATCTTACCCTTGAATGGCCTTCAGGAAGGTTTCTTAGGAAGCACTGATAAGGGCCAGTCTCTAAAGAAAGGCTTTGCCCGATTGATTCACTAGATTGCCAAATAAGAAGAGAAGAGTTTCTGAGGAAAAGATAGTGTTGTAATCTGATATCCTGGGCCAGAAATATTTCTCTCAACTCAGACATTCATCTAAAAGAGAAAAATATTTATTTATTTATTTATTACACAAATATTTGTTGAGCACCTACTGATGTGCAGGCAATGAACTAGGTTGTAAGGAAACAGCTGTAAACTAAACAAGGTGCTCCTTCTCATGGACTCAGAGTCTCTCATGTGAGGCAAATAAATACACAAGCTAATTACAGATGGTGGTAACCGTCATACAGGAAATAAATGGAGGGTGTACTTGAGAGGGAGGAAACCCACTCTGGGTGTAGTAGGCAGGCAAGGTCTCTCGTGGGAGGTGGGTTTGCCTTGAGGCGGCAATGTAGATTATCAGGGGAGAGCATTTCAGGAACATGGAAAGGTCCTGGGATAAGACACCAGAAGAAGACAGTGTCTGATGGCCAGAGAGAGAGAAAGGGTTCCTGGACTAGGGTTGTGCTATTGGAGATGAGAGAACTGAATAGATTTGAGATATGCTTTCAAGGTGGAAATGATGACACTCAGTAAAGTATTGGATATGGGGAATGAGGGTTAAGGGGAAATTGAGGAAATGTCTAGGTATTTGTCTGAGGTAATTGAGTGGCTACTGCCATTTACTGAGATGGGGGACTCATGGGGAAGAGTGGGTTTTTTTGTTTTTTTTTTAAGTAGAAGAATAAAGAATTTTTGTCTTAACTATACTGCATTTAAGATAGCTTTGAGACATCCCAGGGGAAAATGAAGTAGGCAGTGAGATACACAAATCTGAGCCCAGGGCAGAGATCAGGGCTCACCCCAGAAATGGGGGAGTCAGTGGTGTGAATAGTGGCATTGAGAGCATGGGACTGAGACCCTAGTGGGCAATGGTTCTCCACCTCAGCTGTCCACTGGACCCACTCCCAGAGATTCTGATTTAATTGAACCAAGGCAGGGCCTGGACACTCAAATTTTTCAAAGCTCCCTAGAGAGTTTTGTTTTTTTAAATCCAGCTAGGGTGGAAGAGCCACTGCTCAAGGGAGAAAGTGCACCTGTAGAAGAGCAGCCAGGACCGAGCTTTTACATAGTCTTAATGTAACACAAGAGGTTTCCACTCTTTTACTGATACTTTTATCCTGCTGGGAAGACCCAGTCCTTGGCTCTTCGGTTGAGGTGTAGTTTTCCCTGCACCATGGCGGAGTACCCTGTCTTTGGTTTAAGTCAGTGTGCCGTGTCTTCCTTGGTCTTGATTTCTGAGGGGATTGCTTGGGTGCTGAGGATTTAAGTACATCTTCTTTCAGCTAGTCATTCAGGTGTTACCCTGATGTGGTTTAGTGGTAGTGGGTATCTGTCATGCTTGAAAGACAAAGAACCTGTTCGGCTTTTCTTGTTCATTGTGCTGTATGAATTTTGTTGTGGTTGTGGTGGTGGCTGTGCAGGGCAAATGTCTGTAAGGAAGAATGCGTGTTTTTGTATATGTGCAACCACAGATAGATGTCTGCTGAGTTACTCTAGGGTGTGTAGAGATACTTGGTAGCTCCTCTGCGAAGGTGATTCCCAAAAGGTTATTGAGGCTTTTAAGATTTCATCTGCTCTTAAATTTTTCACACTCTTCAGCACTTCTCAAGTCCTTTATTTTTGCCTCTATACCTCCTGTTACTCCTCTGAAGCACGGGGCTAAGAGAAAATAGAAGTGTACTCACACATCCATATGCTGAGCTCAAATCTCATACGGTCTGCCTGAAAACCTAATGAAAAGGCTGTAGAAAGCAGAGGCAAAGCTTATTAAATTTTCTTGTGACCCATGGCCCACATAAAGTCCCACTGAATAAAGGAACCATGCAAGATCATGTAGCCCTCCCCTTAGCCCTCAGGGAATCTGCCATTCCAAAAATATGGCCTATTAAAAAAAATAACTTCCAGGGACAATTCCATAAGCTTTCTTGTTAATGTTTACAGCTGTATCAACATCACACCAATACTTTTTTTGTATGTGTGTGAGGAACAGAATCCACAGATTTAACTGTGACAAGTCCTATATAATTCCCTAATCGTGAAACTAGTTAGACACAGCGAGATGTATTGATGGAAGTTTGTTTAGGGTAATGGGTGAGCTATTAACTTTGTAATTGAATCCTTGCTGCTGCTTCTACTCGCTTTGAAAACCGGCCTTGACACTTCACAGGGCTTAGTTCTTAGGTATCTCACTTTGTCGATCTGGGTATTTTTCAGCCTTCCGTAGCAGCTGGGAGAGGAAGGGGAAAGAAAGCTAGAATGCCAACATTGATGGAACCACATGATGAGTGGACAGCTTAGTCAACTGAGACAAGAACCATGCCACCGTCCAGGACGAGCTAGTCATATCCAAGGACCATGGGGCTGTTTTACCTCTGTGGGGCTCAGTTGCTTCATCTGTGAATACCTTACTTGCCAGGGTCTAGGAGCTGTTTGGAGTATTCTCTAAAGGTTCTTAAGAGTTCTAAACTTATTTGTAGTCTAGATAAAAGTCATAAGTGGTGAAAAAACAGCCATCAACAAACATTGAGTTATCCTATTTTTTCCTGATCATTTTCCTCCTGATCTTAGTCCCTCTGTTTCAGCAGATGCCCCAAACTTGCACTGGCAGGAAATAGGGTGGTGGGTGCGTTTCAGTTAATGGGTCCAGTTGGAACATGTTTGGCTGTGGAGACAGCTACACTCATATTACCAAGCCTTGGCTTCCTGTCTGTTTTCTTTGGGCTGGGTAGGCAATGAAAAAGGAGACAGGAAAATACATTTTGGGGCAAATAAAATAAGGAATTTGTCTTATGAAGACAGCTTATAGTTGGGAAATTCTAATGTTGAAGTTAACCCTATCCTGATATTCCTCTTGTCCTATACTAAGTAGGAGATGAGGTATTCTTGCTGCCCTTGGAATATACCTTTTCATTCTTGAAGGTTCTTAACAATCCTCCTTCAATGTTAGTTTTTTCTTTTATGGATGCTAACCCTCATTTGCTTAATCAAAAGGCAAATTCTTATTCCAGTCTTCTTAATGGCTCTTTAAATCAGCTTCAGTCACTTAACATTTTACTAAAATGTTAGGGCAACATACTAGGACGTCAGTGGTGTGTGGAAGGAATAAGGAACATGGAAGAAGGAATCCACAATGCATTTCTGTGTATGTGTTAGACATTGTTGTGCTGGCTCACTGCATCACGACTACAGATTCACACTTAATTCATGTTGCACCAAGATAGTATTGCATTATTTATTAAGTATGATTTGATGATTTTTAAGAAGTCTTAGTACCTTGGTTATATTTTAATTTGTATATTTCTTTTTAACATCTAGAATTCCTTGGATTTTAGACTAAAATAAACTAGAATATACTAGAAGAGAGAGAAAGTTTTTGTTTTTGTTTTAGATATTGGATTCTCACATTCACATGATAACCCAAAGGGTATTTTTCAGTTTCTTTTACAAAACCACAGTACTAGATTTTAAATAAAAATGCATTCTTTGTGATTTAATATAGCTCATTATATGCTTTCAGGCTTTGGCATATCACAAAATTCCTCTTGAGATTTTGAGTTTCTATGCCTATATTTCTGGTTTTTTCCTCCTAAAGGGGTTCTAAGATTGAGTTTTAATTTTTCAGAAAAGAGTCTCAGTAAGGTATTCATTGTAACATAAAAAAGAAAAAGTCACCATTGTCATCATGGAAATTTCTCTTTGACAAATGTGTCTCTGTTTCTGCCCCAACTTGGGGATGATAGGTGTCACATGCACAGACTTGGAACTTTCAGGGGAGGCCTTGTCCTTCATGCCACAAGAGAACGCACCCCAGTACACAGTCACCTTTCCCTTCCTCTCTGACAAGGGGAGAGGAGGCACCCAGGGTGTTCCTCTGGAGCTCCAGCATTCTGGCCTCGCTACCAGTGCTGGACTCTGAGTCACCCTCTGGGACCCTCAGCTCCCCATTTATAGTATAGAACTAGAAATGCATGCCACTAGATGATGCTTATAAAGCAATTTGAAATGGAAGTCTTTATGTAGACACTTCATTATGAATACCAGTTTTGATAATTCCTTGGCTTAAACCCCCGGTATGTATGTTCACATATCTATTTAGCATGGTCAATTGTTCAGCTAATTAATATGCTTTTATTTTATGATTTGCTGTTTCCAGGGCACAGACAGAAGCTTGATGACTCTAAACCTAGTTTGTTCTCTGACCGCCTCAGTGATTTAGGGCGCATTCCTCATCCCAGTATGAGAGTAGGTGTCCCGCCTCAGAACCCACGGCCCTCCCTGAACTCTGCACCAAGTCCTTTTAATCCACAAGGACAGAGTCAGATTACAGGTAAGACAGACTCCTAGGTTTCACTTGCACAGACTCTGGCAGGCTGGGGGTGAGGGGCTACCAGATGAGACGTGTTCATTTCAAAACTCCTGGACCAATGAAATGGCTGATTATTAAAGAATCAAGACTTGAAGACACTGACCTTCTTATTTATTAAAAAAACTCCAGTATTCAATAACTTTGGGATGAAATGTGGGTGAAGTTTCTACTGATGCTGGATTCAGTAGCCATGTCAGTCTGCACACTGGTGGAATGGTAATGACTATGTTCTCTGGGAGAATGTTTGTTACAAGTTTCTGTACTGTGTCCAGGTGGTGCCAGGGAAACATCACACCCTCACTATTAGAAAATTAGAGTTACCGTCTCAGATTTGGGCTTAAATTTCTTTTATGTATAACTATTTCATTAAGTTTTCTTGAAAATTGCCCAGGGCTAACAGGAAGCCTTGATTGGTGGTTATAAGGCAAGGTCAATGAGCGGCTCATCGGGCAGACCCAATTTACTTCTGATTTCACATTTAACTCTGTTTCCTCAAGCGACATTTCTCTTTATGCATTCTAGTAAGCTGCTTACTTTACCTTTATTCTTAAAAATTAACATCAGCATTGGATTACAGACTAATTCACATTTGATACATTAAAGACGCCCAACTTTTTTTTTCCGATTCCACTTATACAAAAACAGATCCTATTTTAGCACTAGTCTGCTTGCTTTTAGGTCATGCTGACAAGAGAGTGTGTTAATCATCGGAGATCTTTAATTTGCAGATCACAAGTATTGAGAGCCGAAAGAAACTCTACACGTCATCTGGTTGCTATTGTTGGCAGCGGCGGACTAGAATAGAGGGGAAAATAAAACAAAATGTACAATAAACTCTCAAAATGGATATTTTTTAACGGTTAGGTTTTTATCTATAGTGGTTAGGTTTAAGTGGCCTCAGTGGTTTATAAACATAATGTTTATAAATTGAATGACCTCCTTTTCCTTCTCTCCTGCCCACGTTAGTCAGACGTCTTCTTGGATGTTTACTTAGTGTAGGTTTCTATGGGTATGTGAATGTTAGTCTGAATATACCAGTATGCCTGAGTATCTGTTTTAAAAATAATATAGAGTTATAAAAATAAAATATCTGAACACTGAAGAGAGCCAGATATCTGCATCGGGGAAGAACCTTAGTGGTGCTCTGTGAAGGACAGCCACGTCTGAGCCTAAACAAACCTCTCAGTGTTAGTATGTAGGAGTCACACAGTTAATGTGTTTACTAGACATGTGTCCTTAATAAAAGTGCAGACATGAAATTCACACTAATGTGAATTTGAAGCTTATAGCTACAGGTGCCACTGCATTTAAAGTAGTGAACTTTGGATCACTGATTTAAGTTCATAATGCCTGCGCTTTTGTCTTTGTAGTAATCCTTAGACAAGGTATGTGTGTATGTGGAAGCATATGTGCCCATTTATAAAAGTGTTTATATATCATTTGTATAAGGGACTTAGGATGGCTAATTATAGATATTAATATATTTTAGTTCTTAATCATTCACTAATTATATTTTGCTAATGACTAATGCTTTTAAAATCATATTTGGAACCTGTGTGTTGCTAAACTCACTTAAGAAGTTACTTTTCTCAAGATTTAATCCTCAGACTTAAAGATGACATCATAAAATAGAATGAACCAAAAAGCTGTGAAGAAGAGCCACATTTTACCAGCAATACTCACCTTCCCCCACCAGTGAGAGTGCAGAGAGTGTGGGGCAAGCTGATGCCAGAAGAGCATATGAGCAGACTGGGTGTGTGGCCCCTCCACAGCCTGAGCTCTCCTCCGGCTGTCAGCCTCTCTCCACCCTCCTCCATTTGGAAACTCAGGAAGGTTAAGCTCCTTGCCTGCAGTTTTGCAGCCAGTGAGTGCCAGAACAGAATTAGATCTCTTGACTCCTAATATAGTCAAGATTTTTCTTTTATAATACCATGCAGCAACTCCATCATGATCATTTAAAAATAATGTTTAAATATTTGCTGGCTATATTTCTAAAAATGAAAATAGAAAACAAGTTTATTTCTAGGTGCTGAGAGCTTTTTGGAATTCTGTTACAAGGGTATTAGCTCTGTATTTTGGGATTACAGCATAATAGAATTGATTTATAGATCAATCTTCTCACTTTATAAAAATATTCACAAGGTATTGGGCCCAACAACTTTCTCGAACTTTCCAAATTTGAAGATTCACACACATATAGGTGCCACTCCTCCCCACTTCTGGCCACGTGCACTGTCTTTAACTACTCCCTTGTTGTTAGTGAGATAACTCAAGTGTCTGGCCATAACCAAAGATTTCTACCATGCAGAGTTCTGCCATGACCCAAAATGTTAGGAAAACCCAAGAACACCCATAACAGCAGCAACTTCAAAGTAAATTGAATAGATTTTATTTTTTCTCCCTAGATTGATTTTTTTGTTTATTAAGTATGATTTAGAGCCTACCACATATAGAGAATTGGGTCTTAGGTAATATGGGGAGAGAAGAAAAGTTCTCTCCTTGAGTTCAAGTCTAATTGAAGAGATGGTTACCTGTCTGTGTCCCGGACTATGATGTCATTGTCCCTTGAGTGCACATTCTCTCTCTGTACCCCCTACTTATCTCCCCTACCTACAGTGGCCTCTGCCTCCTGACAGGATCCACCCATCTTCTAGGTCACTGTTACCTTCTTCAGGAAAGAGTCCTGGAACCTTCATCCAGAAGGCTGCCTGTCCCTCTTCTAAGCTTTAGTTGAGAGTGCCTTATTTTTATAGCTTCTGTGAATTTGCTTTTTTCTACCCTGCTAGGTTATAAATTCTCTGAGGGATTTATTACAGGGATTAATTTTCTTTTGTACCTCCTAGCATAGTGGTAGCATCTCATTAAATGTCAAATAAATAAAAGTTTGGATGGGAAGTTGTCAGTGCAAGAAGGGCTGGAATATCATACCTTGTGAGCATTAACTGTTCTTTCTAACTTCCTATCCCAGGGTGTCACTGTTCCCTGGTGGTGACCAAGAATGACAGGAGTCACATTTCAGTGTAGCACTTACATAGTGAAACCATTTGGTATTGTTCTAGTTCTGGAACTACATAATTGCATGATTAAATTTAAATTCTACTTAAGAGCCTATCTGTAATGGATTTTGTGACTTTGTAATGTGCCACATATGCATTTTCAGTTCATAGAATCCTTTGGATAAAGACCTTTGTGACAAAAGAGAGTCCAGTTAGCTCTCATTGGCTTGACTTCTTTGATAGCTCAAGCTCTTACCCCAAAACTGAAAATAATGATCATGGCTGTGTAGTCACTACTAGTTCTCGCACTTGCCAACATAAAAGTCAGTCTCTCAGAAGAGCAAAATGAAATTAGAAATCATAAATTGAGGAAGTCATAAGCACTTAGTGTTTCACATGATTGTTCTTCAGTGTCTCTCGCAATTCCTAGGGCTAGAGGTTCCAGCCATGCAGTGCGCTGGCTTCTGGCAGTGCTGGTCTGATGGTGTCACTGTGTTGTGGTCTTTAGTGGCTAATGTTCTATCTGAGGGCCCAGGGCCTCCTAACGGCTTCCTGAGGAAGTAGCTTCCTCTGTACCTTTTCTTATCTTTTAGACATCTGGTGTCTGTCTCTGGGTGCTAGGAAACACCTAGTGTGTTGCAAATGTCTCCTTTGGATCGAGAATCTGGCAATAGCTGTATAGTAGGGATAGCTTGTTAGGAGATCGCTCAAGGTAATCACTGTTTAAAACTCAGTGCTCTCTGGATGGATGAATGAATGGCACCTTAAAAAAAGCTGACTCAGGCTGTTGGACGTGGTGGATTGGGACATCCATCTAACCTTTGGAGTGGACACTGTGGTATTCTGTTATTCAAGTGGACTAAGATAGATGCAGTTTCTGCTCACAAGGAGCTTACATTTTAATGACAGATGTTGTCCATAAATAGGTAAATAAGCATACATATAAGACAATTTTAGATTATAGTAAATGTTTTGAGAAAATAGGGTAATATGATAGCAGTTTAGGAAGGAAAGAAGCTAACTTTGATTAGAAAATTTGGAAAGGCTTCTTTGAAGAGCTTTGAAGGCCTGTGAGCAACAGCGTTTCAGCCAGTGAGAAGCTCACCTGAGGCTCTCAGGAAGCAATGAGTGTGGTGTTTATGGGACAGGAAGGTCAGTGCTGGTGGAGAGCGGTGAGCAAGGGGAATGGTACAGAAAGGCAGGCAGGGCTCAATTATACTCTTCAAGGCCCTGCCAGGGAGCTTGCTTGGGTTTTGTTCTGAGTGCAGTGGGGTGCTGTTGCAGGATGGGAACCAAGAGAATATTATATGTTTTTAAAAAATCACTTTGGATGCTATGTGAAGCATAGATTATAAGGGGGCAATGGGAGAAGCAGGGTCATCATTTCAGAAGCTACTGCAGTAGCCCAGGAGAGAGTTGAGGATGGTAACATTCTTTCTTCAGAATTCAGATCACATGCTGCTGCCCCTGCCAGGTCTCTTCCCCCCTGAGCTGAGTCTGAGTTTCCCATACTGTTTACATGTTCTGATCGTTGTTTACATGTCTGTCTCCTCCATCAGATTTTGAACTTTCAAAGTCTAGGGCCATGTTTGTTTATCTCTGTACCCTCCTTGTCTTATATTGTGCCTTCTGCTTTGTTACTTGGGTTTGGTGATGAATGAATGACCAGGTCATTAACTTCTTTAGGAAGTGTGACCTGTTATTATTCTAGCCCTAATATTTTTCTAGTACTCGTTTGATTGAATTACTATTAGCTACATGTTCACCGAATGTGCGTTGTGTGCCAGGGACTGTTATCCTGGGGTTAACTCACGCACTCCTCACAAGAGCTCTGTGAAATAGGTGGCTTTGTTCTAGAAACTGAGGCTGAGAATCGAGAACACTTGCCCAGGGTACCACTTACCTTTAGTAAGTGATAAATATAGGAATTAAATCCAGATATATATATATATTTTTTCAAGGTAA